ATAAATTTGTTGTGTCTTATGCTGTTATTTTATTTACTTTTGTTATATCCACTGCCAACTGAATTAACTCAGAATCTGAACATCAGTTCTGACTCTAAAACTCTGATCAGAAGCTAAATAATAGGAAAACGCGAAACATAACTCAACCCCCCCATTTTTGTGTACTTTTCACACCTTCATTTGACTAACTTTAACTCAAACAAGAAGACAAGTGTGAAGTTGGAAGCTTAATGGATAAAGGCATGAGCAAGATTTTCATACAAATAAAGGAAGGAAAAACAACATTGACAGAAAATGTGTTATTTTTCCCTAGTATGCAATGTAATCTGCTGAACATTGGTCAGCTAGTAGAGAAAGGATTCTCATTAATCATGGAAGGAGGCTCACTAAATCTCTATGAAAAAAAGAAAAGAGTGGTTTTAAAATCAACTCTGACCAGAAACAGAATCTGGAAGGCTAGTTTGAAGGCCTCAAAATCACACTGTCTTTTTTCATCAATTCTCGATGAAGAAAGTTGGCTTTGGCAAAAAAGGTATGTGAATCTGAACTTCAGAAGTTTAGGAAAGTTGAATACTATGAATTTAGTAGAAGTATTGCCTAAGATAGTGACACCTGATAAATCATGTGACATGTGCATGCTTGGTAAATAAAGTAGGTTTCCTTTTGTGAAGCAGCTGTCAATGAGAGCCAAACATGTACTGAATGTAGTTTCATCTGATATTTATGGTCTTTTTGAAACTGTTTTTTATGGAGGAAGCAAGTAATTCATCTCATTTGTAGATTAATTTAGTAGATGTTGTGGGTGTACTTGATAAATACCAAAGGAGAAGCTTTAAACATGTTCAAAAGGTTTAAGGCCACGAATGAAAAATAGAGTGGAAGACTGATTAAGATACTCAGGACAAATAGAAGAGGGGAATACAACTCCCATGAATTCCAACAATTATGTCATGAAAGTGGCATCTTGCATGAAGTAACTCCCCCTTACACACTTCAACATAATGGTATGGATTAAAGAAGGAATATAAGTTTGGTCGAAATGGCTAGGAGCAAGCTAAAAAAAGTCACTGCCTCATAAATTCTAGATTGAAACATTGTCTATTGCTATTTATGTTCTGAATAGATTTCCTACCAAGAATTTAAAGAATCAGGTGCCAGAAGAATTTTAGTCAAGAAGAAATCCTTGCATCACTCATCTCAAGGTATTTGTATCATTATGTTGTAGACACATGCCAGATGAAAGAAGAACCAAAATTGAAGATAAAAGTAAACCTATGATATTAGTTGGTTACCATCCAACTGGATCATATAGGTTATATAATCTAGTTACTCAGAAATTGGTGGTTAGTAGAGAAGTTATCAAAGAGAAGCATAATCCTAAGATTGGTACCAAGGTGGAGAAAGAGCAAGAGTGGTTCCAATGTAGTTTGATTCTAATAAAGTGGATCCAGCCTCAACTGAGACTCCAGTTGAGAATGTGAATCCTACTCAAAGGGCGAGACCAACCAGAAACAGACAGATACCTCAAGGCTGATTATGAAATTGTGCCTGAAAATACAGTGGATGAGGCTTGAGAAATAATACACCTGGCAATGTTAGCAGCTACAAAACCACTAAATTATCATGATGCAATGCAAGACAAAGTGTGGAAAGATGCAATGAATGAGGAACTCAGTTAAATTGAAAAATGTGGCACATGAAAATTGACTCAACTACCAAAAAGAAAGAAGCTAATTAGGGTGAAATGGATTTTCAAAGTAAAGTTGAGTTTAGAAGGAACAATAATGGAGCACAAAGTAAGACTTATGGAAAGGGTTTTCCTTTAGAGACAAGGTCTGGATTACTTTGCGGTATTTGCACAAGTGGCAAGGCATGAGACTATAAGACTTGTAATGGATTTAACTTGCATTAAAAAATTGAATTTGTCACACATGGATGTAAAATAGGCCTTTCTAAATGGTCCTCTTAATGAAGAGGTATATGTGTATCAACCTCTAGGTTTTGAAGTAAAGGGAAAAAATCATATGATGCATAAACTATACAAGGCGTTGTATGGCTTGAAGCAGACACCAAGATTATGTGATAGGAGAATTTATGTTTTCCTCATCAGATATGTCTTTAAAAAATGTTCAGTTGAGTATGGTGTGTATGCAAAATACAAGCAAGGTGAAATATTATTGCTGGTATGTTTGTATGTGGATGACCTCCTGATAACTAGAGAATCTCAACTAGAAATTCAAGACCTCAAGAGTACAATGAAGTTAGAATTTGAGATGTCGGATATAGGTAACTTTCCTACTTCCTTGGTATGAATTTTCTATACAAAGAAGGTGGAATAATCTTGCATCAAGCAAAGTATGCTACTAACTTGTTGAAAAGATTCAACATGCTGAAATGCAATTTTGTTGTGACTACTCATGTTGAATCAGGTCAGAAACTGGAAGAAGATAATGATGAAGAGTCAGAAGCTGGAAGAAGATAATAATGAAGTAAGGATATATGCCACCTCGTACAAGCAGATGATTGAATCATTGAGGTATCTATGAAATAGTCGACCAAATATAAACTTTATTGTAGGAGTACTGAGCAAATTTATGCATGATCCAAGGAAGTCTCGTTTGTTTGCTGGAAAAAGAGTACTAAGATACATCAATGGAACCTTGAGGCATAATGTATTTTTCTCACGTGGAAAAAAGAGAAGCAAAGAAGAGGTGATAGGATTTTTGGATTCAGACTGGCGTGGTGACAGACTGGATAGGAAGAGTTCCACATGTTATGTCTTCAAGTTTCAAGGAGCTCTAATATTTTGGGTCTCTAAGAAGTAACTTGTTGTGGCTCTGTGTAGCTTTGAGGCATAATATATTGCTAGTTGCTTAGTTGCTTATGAGGTTGCTTGGATCGAAGATGTATTGACTCAACTTTGTGTGAACATTCAAGTACCATTCAAGATCCTTTTTTACAATGAATACATAATAAAATTAGCAAAGAATCAAGTGTCTCATGGAAGATCCAAGCATATTGAAACAATTTTTCACTATATAAGGGAGTAAGTTAATAAAGGAAGGTTGACAATGAGATATTGTCCTACTAAGGACCATACTATTGATATCTTGACTAAGGCTATAAAAGGAGAACAATTTTCTAAGACGAAGATAGACATGGGAATGATGGAATTTGATTTAAAGGTTGGAACAACTTCTGAATCACTAGCCTCCGAAGCTTTGATGGCTTCTGAATTACCAACCTCTGAAGGTGTTAGAGGCTGGAAGAACCTAGCCTCTAAAGTAGTCTGAGGATGGAACATCCTGACCTCTGAAATTTTGATAGCTTATGAAACATCATCCTTTGAAGGAGTCAGGGATGGGAACTACTTATGAAGAGTGGCTGAAGTCTGAAGATGCAAAATCTAAAGTATCAGCTTCTGATGTGTATCACTTGGTGAAAGTTTGAATTAAGGGAGCATATTGTGTCTTAATTCAAACTTAGTTTGTTGGTTAGTTACTGCTTGTGTATATATAATAACTATTTGTGTAGTTTTGTAATAGTAACCATTCTCTCATAACAGAATTTTCTCTCATTCAATATTCATCTCTCTCTCTCTCTCTCTCTCTCTCTCTCTCTCTCTCTCTCTATCTATCTATCTATCTATCTATCTATCTATCTATCTATATATCTCTTCCCTTCCACTCAAACACTCTCTACCTTTCTCTCAATTAAACTTTTGCATTCGCAATGTGTAATAAAACCAACATAAATAAGGTTGTGCGGTGAGAGAATGGAACTGTGCGATGTGCGATGATGTTTATGGAACTGTGCGATGAGAGCTGGTGATTCTGGGTTTGGGAGAGAAACATGTGTTTTGAGATGGAAGAATAGAAAACTTGTGGTTTAGGGTTTGTTAATGTCTTTAGATTATTTCATTTACACAATATTCACTTAATAAAAATTACACCTGTTAATCAGTTAATTAATTATTGGGATTAATATTTTGAATTATAAAGTTAAACATTTTTTTTAAATCCGTATAAATTTACACCCCTTTTAAATTTAACGGGAGTAATAGAGATTTGATTATAATAATATTTTAAATTTACACCCATTTAAAAAAATAGGGAGTCTATTGTCACGTGCTAATACTTAAAATGATAATTTATTTTACAAAATTGTCGATGTGTTTCTTATTTACAGTCATTTTTAGTATAACGAGTGCAAATTTTTTAAAATTATATTCTTCTCTTTGCACTAGTGAGATATAATTTTTCACCTACATGAAAATATTGAAACGAAGTCAAGTATATACTTTGTTATCTTAGAAATATAACTGGTATGAATTTATTTTATTTTAAAGTATCCAAATTAAAATTAACAAATTATATAAATGCACGTAACTTGTAGATCCTCATAAAAAGTATATCACAAATAGATTACTTGTTTACTTGATGTGGTACAACTATTTCACGAAGAGTTATTAAATAAATCATAACAACAACTTCATCAAATCTTGCCAAATTAGCAATGTACGAAGAAAGTAAAAAATGTGTTTGATTCAGGTAACTAAATCAATACATATAACAAACTTGTGGTTTATCTTATGAAAAAATAAATACAACAATCAAATATGAAGATAATACTATACATCACTCAATTGAAAGATAACTACATTAAATGAAACTAAATAAAAAACATTCCTCCAACATTTTTTTTCACTCGCGATCTTCATAAACATAGTGATATAATCATTCAACAAAATTATTTTGTGATAATTTTGCAGATCTTTTCACAAAATCATTCTAAATTAGAACTTTTAATCAATTTGTATGAACATTCAAGAGATGTCTTATAAATAATGAAAGTTCAAAATTGTTGTCTATATATCTTTATATAAACTTTATGCTAAATGAATGTTAACTCACTCATTTGAAGGTTGGAAAAGTTTCATAATATCATTTGAAAAGCACATATATGAAGTCCTTTATTCTTCAATAAATTTCTAATTCTAACTACTCATTCTGCACATGGATTGTGATATTTTCATCCTTTGGAGGCTTACATGCACTTGCCATGGCTATGAATTTCGGAACCTTATCTCCCGGCATCAACACAGGAAAGCTTTCACCATGATTCTGCTTCATCATCTAAGCACACCAACAACAAACAACATTAGTTCCAACAACAACAAAATCTTAAAAAATTTAGAAACCAAGAGAAGTGGTTATTACCAAGACAGGAAATCCAGGTTTACTGTTAGAGGAAGCAAAGTGTGTTTGTATACGAGGTTGTGGGTTGATAACATTAACGACAGAAGATGGAAACAGAAACTGGAGTTTGTCCCAATATAAACAACAACAAAAGAAGCAACAAAAGAAGAACAAGAAAGAAACAAGAAGAGCTAAACCTAATGGGAAACCAATGTATGGTGTGTCTTCAATAACCATTTTTATGATATGTTGTTTTGACTCTCATTTCACCTGAATGAGTGAAACGTTGCAAAGAACGTGGTTTGTTTAATAACACTATGAAAAGTGTGACAGAATTTGGTTTTAGTTAATTGGATTGTTGTTGATGATGATGGTGCGCACTCAGAAGTAGTGAGTGGAGTTTGACAAGTGAGTCATATTAGTGGAGGTACATTTTCCTTTTTGTACGGCAAAATTTGTTTTTTTCATAACAAGGACAATCATATTTTTAGGTTTACGTGTTATTCTCAGTTTTTTTATTTATTTGTTTTTTCAAAACTATGAATGGAACTCTATTTTCCATAACTCATTATTCAAGCTCAGACATGTTTGCATAGAACCATAATACGGTCGGTTATGCTAGCACAAGGTAAAAAAAGTGTTTATATTGAAGAACCATAGATAGATGATAAAGTGATGGAATGGAGTTCAATATGACATATTAACTTTTGGTATGATGGATCAGACTTTTGATACCGTAGAGAGAGGGTGAATTTGTAAGATTAACACTCAAATATTTAAGTCAGTGAATAAAAAAAATAGTTATAGAGTTCTCTTTATAGAGTGAATAAAAAAAATAGTTATAGAGTTCTCTTTATAGAGTATATGTGGTATAATCCTCCATGTGTGATTAGTACTTTGTGCGAGTTGTGGTTTGATTAAAGTCAATGATAAGAGATGTGATGGAGGGCATGACCATGTAACTTCGGCAGAGGCGAGGGTCAACCTGTTCCATGTGCTTTCTGTAACACTTTGACCTAATTAATCATTTTATTTAATTGTTTATTTAATTTAATTGAGTCACTTATTTGAATAATTATTTTTGTGATGTGTGACATGTTTGGTCGGTGATAATATTTGTGGTGTTTTATGTTAAATTAATTAGTTAGTGGAAATTCATTAATTAGAACTTTGAGAGAATATGAAAAATTGGGTTAGTTTTGTATTGATAAAATTAAGTGACAAGTGGAGAGAAGTCAAGTGTTAGTTGGACATAAATCATAATTATGAGAAATAATTAAAATATTATTATATTAAAAACTGGAGAAAATTAGGTTTTAGAGCCTTGTGTCAGTATGTGAAAACAAGGAATTTTAAAGAACAACAATATTGAAAGAGAGAACTAGGGCTTGAGAGGAAGAACCCATAGGAGCTGTTTGCTTTTGTTGATTTTGCAGGACTTACAAGGTAGAGGGATTCTTTATTTAAGGGTGCTTATATCATGAAAGTGTAGAGAGGTTTCCCTTAACTTTCAATAGGGTTTTGTTTTTCTCTATTGTTTGATGATGCGTATAATAAATGAATGTTTATGATTTTGTTCTACCGTGAATTGATGTGATAAATTATTTGTGCTATTGTGTTGTTGTGTGGTCATAACTCAATTGATTGTATGATGAAGTTGTGTTGAAGTTTGAAATTTTAGGGTGTGAGATATTGGATCGAACTCTAGTTACCATGTCGTCGAAGTTTGCTCACATGCTGATGTCGAAGACCTACATGTTGTAGTCGAATTATGTTCTAGTATGTAGTTGTCGAATTGGGTCTTTTGTTAATGATCCAATTGTTTAAATTAGTTTGTACCCTAAGTTAACTTGTAATGGAGAATTGTTAAAAAGCACATTAGTTTAGTATGTTAGGTTTTATTACAAATAACATACTAGTCTCTCATCTTAGGTGTAGTGTGAGAAAACCTAATTAGAGTGAGAGGGTTGTTTGTTATTCTTAAGTACTTGTAATCTGTTTTATAGAGAAAGTAAAGAATAATAGTTATAACCAATCCTTGTTGTTCTTCTTATTTTTCCTTAACCCTAACCCTTGTGTGTTTCTTGATCATAAAGAAACCGAGTATATTTTGTTTTAAGGTATCCTAATTCACAACAAATTGGTGCGGTAAGCATGGAGAAGATGCCTTCAACAAAGTATGAGATTGAAAAGTTCACCGGAGTGAACGACTTCGGTCTGTCGCGCTTGAAGATGAAAGCCCTACTGGTTCAGCAGGGTTGTTTGGAAGTGTTGAAGGGAGAGGCAACTATGGACGTTGGGTTAACGGAAAAACAAAAGAAGGAAATGATAAAGAAAGACCACAACGCAATATTTTTGAGCCTTGGTGATAAGGTTCTTTGACAGGTATCAAAGAAGACTACGACATCGGGGTTATGGTTGAAACTTGAAAGTTTGTACATGACCAAATCTCTTGTGAATCGACTCTACCTGAAGTAAGCTTTGTATTCATTCAAGATGAGCTTTGAATAAGTTCAATTAGCCTTGTATTCTAAGGACTTGAACGAATGAAAGAAGCATAAACCTTCGACGGTTGGTGAAGGTTTGGCCGTTAAGGGAAAATTCTTGCGAAAGGATGGTAAGTTCGACAAGAAGAAAGTTAAAAGTCAGCAGAAGTCTTATAGTGGCGAGGCATCTGGTATTCAATGTTATCACTGTAAGAAGGAGGGTCACACAATAAAAATGTGCCCTGAACGCCTGAAAAATCATGGAGGTAAAGATAATGGCAACACAACCATTATTTAAGATGACTTCGAATCATCTGATGTTCTTGTGGTTTCAAGCGGCGACTCAAGGAAGGAGTGGATTATAGATTCAAGTTGCACTTGACACATGACTCCAAACAGAAAATTGTTCGAGGAGCTATGTGATCAAGATGGTGGATCAGTGATGCAGGGAAATAACAAATCTTGCAAAATTGCGGGTATTGGATCTGTAAGATTCAAGCTCCATGATGAGTCAATAAGGTTATTGACTGAAGTCAGGTATGTACCTGATTTGAAGAGAAATTTGATTTCTCTTGGTGAATTCAACAGGAAGGGATATGTTTTTCAATGAGAGAAAAGTATCTTGAGAGTCATAAAGGGGTCAAAGGAAATCTTGAGAGGCGTGAAGAAACAAGGCTTGTATACCCTTGAGGCTGAAGTTATAAGTGGTTCGACAAATGTTGCATCCACGGAACCGTTTTCGAAAATAGAAATTTGGCAAATGAGATTGGGCCATGTTAGTGAAAGGGGTATGGTCGAATTAGGGAAGTAAAATCTGCTTGAAGGAAACAAAGTAAAAAATCTGAAATTTTGTGAACTCTATGTACTTGGAAAATCTTACAGAGTGAAATTCAACAAAGGAAAACAAAGAACTCATGGATCCCTTAATTACATCCATGCTGGTATTTGAGGGCCTGCAAGGTGTCCATCACATTCAGGAGCAATGTATTTTCTATCCATAGTTGATGATTATTCCAGGAAGTTATGGGTATTCATCCAGAAGACTAAGGATGAAACTTTTGAGAATTTCAAAGGTTGGAAGACTCTGGTCGAAAATTAGATTGGCAGAAAGGTTAAAAGGTTGAGAACCAACAATGGCCTTAAATTTTGCAATGAGGTGTTCGACAGTTTTTGTGTTGCCTCAGGTATTGCAAGGCAAAAAAATACTGTAGATACTCCCTAACAAAATGGTTTGGCAGAAAGGTTTAATCGAACTATTTGGAAAGAGTTAGATGCATGTTGACTAGTGCTGGATTAAGGAAGGTGTTTCGGGCTGAGGCTGTTTTGACAGCAACATATCTGATAAACAGATATCCTTCGACTGTGTTAGATATGAAGACACCTAAAGAAGTTTGGTAAGGACATCCACCTAGTCTATACAAATTGAGAGTATTTGGCTGTGTGGCCTATGCTCACATTAGGCAAGAGAAGGTAGAACTTAGAGCCCTGAAATGCATGTTCATGGGATACCCTGAAGGAGTCAAAGCTTATAGGCTATGGTTCCTAGAGCCAGGTCACAGGAGGTGTATCACCAGTCGAGATGTGGTTTTCAATGAAGCAAAGATGGCTTTCAAGAAAACTGATGATGTTGACGAAGAGCTGGAACATGGAGAGATTCTTTTTTAGGTGGAGCATGTTGATGCTGAATGGCGTACCCCAGATGAAGTCAAAAAAGAAGCAGAAGTTGTTGTCAAAGATGAGGAGACTGATAATGACTACCTACTAGCAAGAGACAGGTCAAAGAGATTCATCAAGCCACCTCAGAGAGTTGGGTATGCAGATCTTATAATTTAAGCCTTAATCTCTACAACTGAGGTTCTCGACGAAGAACCTGAAGACTATAAGGAAGTTATGAGGAGTCAAAAGAAGACTGAATGGATGAAGGCCATGGATAATAAGATGAAATCTCTTCATGATAACAATACCCGGGAACTGATCAAAAAACCTGTTAGAACCAGGTTAGTCAGCTATAAATGGATTTTTAAAGTTAATGAAGGAATCGAAGGAGTGACGTTGAAAAGATACAAGGCAAGATTGGTCGCTAGGGGTCTCGCTCAAAAAGAAGGTGTCGACTTCAATGATGTGTTTTCTCCTGTTGTGAAGCACATATCCATTCGAATGTTGCTTGCCACGGTGGCACAGGTCATCCTTGAACTGGAATAGATAGATGTGAAGACCGTGTTCTTATATGGTGATCTAGATGAACTAATCCTTATAAGGCAACCTGAAGGGTATGTCGAAAAGGGGAAGGAAGATTATGATTGCAAGCTGAAGAGATCCTTATATGGACTGAAACAATCTCCTCAACAGTGGAATAGGAGTTTCGACAAGTTCATGGCATGCATAAGTTTCATTAGAAGTCAGTTCGACCATTGTGTTTATCTCAGATTTCGACCTGGTAATTCATTTGTTATTTTTTTGCTTTATGTGGATGATATTCTAATAGCAAGTAACAATGTCGAAGATGTAATGAGGGTGAAGACTGAACTTAATAAGGAGTTTGACATAAAGGATATGGGAGCTACGTCCAGGATTCTTGGGATTGACATCCAAAGAGATAGAAAGCATTTGAAATTATGCTTATCTCAAGAGGCATACCTACGGAAGATTCTCGAAAAGTTTAGTATGTCGAATTCTAAGCCTGTTGTGACTCCGATAAATCCTAAATTCAAGTTGAGTATAGATCATTATCTCAGTATTGATTTTGAAATA